TCTAGAAGGCTTACAAACACTGATGACACGTATAACTAAAATTAGCCAACAGACACAAATCAAATACAAAGAAGACAAAATATATGGTAATTAGCAAACGTCCAGTCTTAAACACTCAGCTGGCTATCAACCAACAGCCAATTGAAAGAGTTGAAAGCTACACATATATTGGCACAGTCGATGGGATCACTCCTTGGAAATAAGACAACGTATAGCAAAAGCCATTTATAAAGATGAGCACCGTCTTTAAAAGCCACGACCTGCCGCTGGAAACCAAAATCTTCGTACTATAGTGCCTATACCTTTTCAGTCCTTTTATACGGAGCGGAGGATTGGAGGCTCTCGACGGTTGCTATGAAAAAACTGGAATCGTTCGAGATGTGTCACAAATAATGAAGTCCTACGTAGAATATAGCGACATAGCCTCCTCCAATTAATTCTACAAGAAAAAGCTTCGAAACCTAAGCAAATGGTTTAAAATGACCACGACTGGACAGCCGCCAACAAAGTAAGAATAGCCATACAAGTCAGCAACATTCGGAACGAATAGGTACCTCAAGAAGAAGAAGAAGAAGAAGAAGATGCCATTCGCTTTGTCAAAAAAAAAAGTGCTTGCACTTACACATTATAATATTTTTAATATTTTATATGGATTGCTATGAGCTGCACATTTTCCTTTTTAATTGTATTGAACTAAGAATTCTTTTATAACTTTTTATAAAATTAAAATTATTAAATGTATTTAAAAAAATAAATAAAAAAAGTTATGAAATTTTATTATTATTAAGTTTCCACGACGATTATTTTCAGCATTTTGCAGGTTTGTTGGGTCACTCTGTAGAATGATACGTATCCCATTTAAATTATATAAAAAATTTCGAGCTACTACCCTGCCATGGAGCAATTCTCTGCCCCATCTTGATTCCCCCCCCCCCTATATCTTGTAAAGTAAACCTATTTTACTTCGTAACAATCCTAAAAAACAAACACTTGCATTAGTATTATATACAATTTTGCACAACCTATTGAACCCTGGATATTTTTTCGCAGACCGCGTTTACTCAAATTATTGACAAAAACGCTTCGATAAGAGTAATCGATTGAAATATTTTAATTGAGTCTTTTATTACAACTGATAATAATGCATGATTTTATAGCGTTGTTTGCCAATTTTGTGAAATATTAAAGAAATAGAAGGTTCCATGGTGTAATGGTGAGCACTCTGGACTTTGAATCCAGCGATCCGAGTTCAAATCTCGGTGGAACCTGCTTTCAATTTTTTGACATCAATTGGACTCCACATCCGAGCGCTCTTTCACAATTTTAAACGAACAGGATTACCCCTCGCATGATACAAACTTAGCTTGTAACGTAGGAGCCATAATAAAAATTTTATCGTCCCCAAAAGAGGTCCTTTAATAGTGATTTATTTGTTCGTTAGGGCGTTAAGTGGAAATCGAGATAACAAGATCGTAAGAAGACTAGCGCGGCCTTAAATAATATTTTGCAGAATGTAACATGTTCATATTTATGATACAAATATGTTTTTTCGCAGATAGGAAACCAGACATTTGCTTTAATTTTGTCCATTTCACAGGCTCACCTTCTCCAAAACTTTATCTTAGAGATATGGATTTGTTATAGCTAGTTCATAGCTGTCGTCCTATTTCGCAAAAACATATCATGTTATTAAATGCTGATACAAAATGCAATAGTTTTCATATGTATTACATTACTCTAATATTATAACCCAAAAAGCAGTTATAATTCATTTTAATAAGGTCAGGTAAATGTAAATACATTAAATAAATCTTGGAATTCCATATATACTAAAAATTAACTTCTGAACAGCGCGAATCAATCATTAAACCCAGTAAAAATGTAAAGAGTGTTTTAGATGTAATGAATAACTTAAAATTAGATGTTTCGCACTTGGTCTTTTGAAACTTACCCTTCCAAATCAATTTTAATATGCTCTATGACCATATCATTTTATACAGAAATGATTAAAACACCCACCTACTAGACCTAGATGATGGTTGTTAATTGCACAACCCCAAATACAAAATTTGCTCTCATTTCAATGACTAACATTTACAAAAATTTGTGTAAATTAGTAGCGCAAATTTCGGCAAGTTTATAGTTTATTTCCTATAATTAGTTTCTAAAAATGTGTATTACCAAACAGGGAAACTTGCGAAAAATAAAAAAGTTGTTTTAGCCATTAATTAAAAAATTATTCTAATTATTCAATTATTCTCAGTTAATAATGAGTTCCTAACTTTTCGCCGATTGTTAATAATATTATGCCGGAGACTGAATTCAAAATAGGTGCTCAAAGAAATATTAGAGAATCATAAATCAAGCATGAAGAATAAATTAGAAATTAGGGGAGAAATATATGAACACACAAATTTTTAATAGAGTATTCCCACAATAAGTTTAAAATTACGTTAGCGGTAGTAATTTAACAATCGCAATGCCATTTGGATTATTGTTAAATTGAAGGATGAGCTTTATTTTCTGTGTTAATTTTACAGTAATCCAAACCTAAATTTTCAAATGCCGCAGATGTCACTTGAAGAAATGTTGAAAAAAAACGTGATAACGGTCAATTTGTGAATTATCGGCCCATTTTGCAACTCTATGTATAGTGCGTTACGGGTATGTATTTTTTTAATAATAAAATTAGTGTAGCAATCCACGGGTTTGTTGCAAAGGCAACGTTTACAAGTATCTTTCTGAGATTTGTGATTTTAATAATTTAATTTTTGACTTTTTTTTGTATAATATTGTTTCCGCAATTTTATTATACCTAACATGATTTATTTAAGATTGACTTAACAAATGTAATATAACGCCCATTTTCATATTATTTTGGTATATTTAAATAAAAATAAATAATTCACTTACTTTAAGCCTGGACCGGTAGGGGTATCTATTAAGCCATAACTCAACCGTGGGTAAAGAATTCATTCCCAAACAATGCAGCTTGAAGAACTAAATAGTAGACGGCGCCACAAGCCTAGAACCACCACAATTCTTTCTAAAAGAAATGGAATAGACCTCTTCTTCATAACTCATTACATTGGTCATTTTTAATAACGGAAAAATAGAAATTTATCTCCAGACGGTAAAGCTTTGGCAATTAAATAGTAGATGGCGCCACAAATCTAAAACTACTACTATTTTTTTTCTAAAGGAAATGGAATAGACTTCTTTATAGTTTTAATACATTGTTCATTTTTAATAACGGAAATCATCACAATATCACAATAGAAATAAATGTTATGCAATATGAACGAACAATAGATATAAAACCATTCCAATTATCAATTTGAATCTTTGCAAAACATCCTGGAATAACGAACAACACGTCAGGTAGTAGTTTACTAAGTAGAACGATGTGTGTGTGTGTGTGTGTGTGTGTGTGCAAGTGACAGTAAAGCATTTAATTTTGTTTCCTTTAATCATGTTAACAATAGTGATTACCTTACAGTAGGTGTGACCGGAAAAGGCAATGGGTTCACAAAGTGCATAGAATCATCAGATTAGAATAATTGATCGACATATTACAAAACATGAATTCTCTAAAGTTTGCCTGGAGATTTTGGTGAAAAGTAGTTTTAGTTAGCTTTTCGTCTTGTTTTACCTAAATATGTCGAAGTTTGATGATACTACTAGAATGTTCATGAAAAGACAGAATACACTATACACATAAAACGACATAACATTGTAGATAGACTGTAAGGAACTTATTAATAAACAAAGTGGCTCAATAGCAACCTTTCGCTCTGACTATCCGACATTGCGTTTTTTATGCCTTTCGAGTTTGAATGGCGTCACGATCAATCAAATACCTCATTTTGAACATCTCACAATTTAGAATTTCCCGTCAAGCACCAACAATAGTAAACATGTTCACGAAATTGTGCATGTATAAACATAGACCCTCCGTAGATTGATAGTGACTTGTTCGATGTGAAAATTATTATATCTTTCAAAATTTAGGAATGATCTTTCTCAAATACACTCTAGTCAAGTACCTCAGGTAAATAAAAATGCTGTTATTATTTATCTAGCTATTGGTTTTATTTAAAACTATAAAATCATCAAGAAAATTTTTGTTTTCGTTTATAGATTTGGAAAACATTGATAACAACTTAAAAATTAAAGACGTACTAGGCCCGTGGCATTTTCCGCTATTTAAGGTAGCAATGCAAAAGTATAAACAAATTAAAATATTATGGGTTATTTATTCTAGTGAGAAAACGGAGAGGCCATTGACCGAGCCGACCAGGAAAACCAATTACTTAATTCGGTAACAATTGCGGTTGAGTGAGAATTGAATCTAACTGCAATTTTAATACTGCAGCAAAATTGTCGTTGCCATAGCAGGCGCCAGGGCGTCTAACTAACTGAAAAACAACAAAAAGCGAATGAAATACACATTTACTGCAATTTATTCCCTATAAATTCTTAATTTCCTTCTATAAACGTGGACTTTGGTCATCAAAACAACAATGACGCGAAAATATTTGCCGTCTGTTTTTCTATAACGCAATTTGTCAATAAAATTCCACTCAAAAATTTCGACTCGTTTGTTTGTGATTTTCCTTAGCCTTTCTGTTTAGCCGACGCCATAGTGTCTGATAAAGTAAAACAACATTTCCAGTGTTGCCATATACCCTTGAAGTAGTGATTGATATTGGGAAAAATAGCAGTGTCCCTAGTGCCGTCTTTATTGATTATGCGTTGCATATCAATCTGGTGACAAAATATAAAATATTATATAATAAATTGAAACCATTTAGCCAAATTTTTGCTTTTTTCTATCTTATTTGTCATACCTAATTGTGCATGCGGGCAAATGTTGATTGGTTGCACTAGGTTTAGCTTTTATAGCATAGAAAACTAGAAGATACGGCAACGTAGGATTACTCATGTATTTTCCCCGTTATGGACCTATCAAGGACACACGTGTTGAAAGCTATGTCCAATGAGAGAGATACGCGGAAACGTGAACAGCTGTATTCGTAGTTGCGTCGCCCGTTGCGCTTTGTTTAAGATTATTTCGTTGTGGTTTTGGCATAATCGACAGTTTTTCGCAAACTATCGTTGAGCGACAATCGCGACTATAGATAATTTTGCTACAAAGTGCTCCGGCGTGTACCTTCTTGTGCCGCAATACCTGTTTCCTATTCAGGTTCTAACGGACAGCTTCAGTTTTAAGGTAAGGTTATGCGTGCCATAATGGCATTTGAATTTGGATTTTTTTTATTGGGTTAAGTCCGTTCGACAAAACTATTACTCGCTTACATTGCAGAATAAAGCACGTTTTTATGGAACTATTTTTTACCTTTTTACCTTTTTCCCAAACTTGACAGGTAGGTATTTCGGATTTGATTCTGTGTTGCATGGATACTGTGTATCAAATGATGTCCCATCCGATCTCGATTGACGTCTTGCTGTTGTTAATTTTAAAAAAAGCTCGTAATATCGACATTGAACACAATCGTTTGGCGAGGGCTTTGCCTTGCTGCGGCATGTTGGCATTTGAACCGGTATTCATTGACCTACCTTTGTCAGGTATATGATTTACCTAGTTGGGATTTTAATTTTTTTTTTGCAACAAAGAGCCGGTTATATTTGTTATACACAGACCGTGAACGCTGCCAGAAGATATTTATTACGCTTTATGTGTACTGGTAAATCCCGTGGCAAACATGAGGGGAAACGTTTATTAATAATAATTATCGTCATAATGCTATTTAATCAAAAGTTATTGACGAAATTCTTAATTTTTTAAAAATAAAAGCCAGTTCAGTTTATGCCATGATTTTATTTTTGTAATAAAAAGTAACGCAAGCGGGTTGCGACCTCCTCCAACATACTAAGAGGACTCACTGGACCTTTAAAATCCTACGTTTCTCAAATTTGATTGAACACTAGAAAGAATAGTTCCTCAATTGCAAGTTTGTATTGTGTTGTGTCAAAACGTTAACATACCAACTCTCATTCAGAAAACCTAAATAAAAGATACGTGTTTCTCTGTGTCTGATCAAAGGACAGAGCAAAATCGGCTTACATTCAATGATGAAAACAACCATTCATCTCTTTACTATCCAATGAAAGTTAAGGTGTTTTTCAAGTTTCGATTATTTTGAGAATTGAAGATTAACAAAAATTTCTGAATCAAAAAAAACTTTGTTAGGGTTGTTTTTTGGGTCAAACTTTATCTTTTTTCTACAATTCTCAGTATTTAAACGGTAATACGGCAATCATAGTGTTGCCCATGTTACCCGATGATTATTGGCATCGGAAATGGCGAAAATATAAGGCATTTTTTGTTTATGTATAACTGCAGTAAACCTTGCATAAAAGTTTAAAAAAGCTAACTTTAATTCAGAACAGTTTTAGTGAAAAAACTACTTATTTAATATTTTAATTTTAATATTATCGATATTTAGTTTCAATAGTTTATTTTAATTAAGAAATACCCTGTATATATTTTAAAAACTATTGACAATAGTACAGTTATTTGTAATAAACGCAGCACTATAATGATTCATCATATCATATTTTTTGTAATTTTGATACATTTTCAATGGATAAATGAATTTGAAACGCATGTTTGGCAACTAAAACGATGCGCTATATAACATAAAATAAAAAATAAAGGTGATGTCGTTAATTGAAAATACATCCCTACCATTTTTTATGACAGATACCAATAATAATAATAATAATAATATGATGATGACTTTATTGTAATATATTAGAAGAACATATCACAAAAAGCCAAGTGGAATGTACACTTCCTTACTTAACCTACAATCCCGAATATTAATTATTTTGTAATTGATAGTTCATCATAGGCATCTTACATTATCTCGGTAGGTACTGAAGATCACCCGTGGCAAGTCGATTTTGTTCTATGTACCACCATGTGTACTGTTCAAAAATCATTTCCGTTGTTAAGAGGAAAATCGAAGGTTTACATTTTGGCGGAGTAGAAAATGACTTTATTTTTATTTATTTTCTAAAGCGTTAACAAATTTGGTATGGATTTTATATTCTAGCATGTTAAGCTGTTTATAATATCAGTTTTATGGTCCGTGATCAGCTTCCCGGATTTTAAACTTACAGCAATGAATAGGATAACAAACAGATTCCTATCTCTATGTCCATGACGCACCGATTATATTTTTATTTCAATTTCGCATGCGGAATAAAACAGTTATAAGGTATATAATATAATAAAATTAACTATCAAAACGGAAACAACTCATTAAAAATATTGAAGCTATGGATTGAGGCAGATTTTTACCATGCCGCACTAGGCCAGTAATAAATTTTTTGCGCAGTATGGACTATCAAACAATAAATATATGAACATAATTTTTGTGGGCGCCACACTTAAAACGGAAAGCCATTAAGAAACAAATAAAAATTTATGGCGTTATTTATGTGACGTACGTTTCTTGTTTAGTGCCGACTTATAGGTCTAAATGTTTGTCTAGTTCCAAAGGCGCAAAGTGCTTAGAATTTTGTTTAACGAAATAAAATCTAAGCGAATATTTTTACGTGATTATTTGAGGAAAATTTATTGCCACGATGTTATATATTGTTTTCTAAAAACGCAAACTCCTGCGTATTCGCTGTGGTGGTTGCGTCTCAGTGAAAATGAAATAATGCCATTTAGAATCAATTTTTTGCATTGGACACAAAAAATGCCAACGATACAAAACAAGCCATTAGAGACACTTATAATATTCCCAAATAACCGAAATCTTTGAGCTTTTTATACCATTTCAAGTCTACAATAAAAGCCTCGTTGAAAAGAGACTTTGACAACTTTTTAAATGAAAAACCACTCCACCTTATGCATAGTGGATATCCCCACTGAGAAAAGGATTTAAATTGGGTCAGTTTATTTCGCTTTTGAAAACACGAGTTGTATATATGGCTTTAAATTACTTTGTTCCGTTTTCACTGATACACACACCATATGTTTCATGTTATGTTACTTTTCGGTGGAACGCAAGAAAAAATCTGTCGGTATTTGGTTAGTTTCGAAAATCTGTCAGACACATTTTTCAAATAGTTATTATATACTTTTGTCGCATTTCAACATTTTTTTCTTGCAGTTTCTGTATTGGGGCTGAAGATGGATGTCACGAATAACATGTAGGTACACTTTTCGCATTTACCATTAGTTTTCATATGGGGTTTCAAAAAATTTTGAATTTAAAATACTTAATGATGCCGCTTCCTGTCCGCATGACCTTATATTTGATTGTGCTATTTAGTACAATTTAAGGCCTGTGTTGCGATTTTGGGTTAAAAATGATTTGACGATTAGCGCTTTAGCGGACACAAAAAACACAATATTTGATAACTTTTGAAACAAAAAAATCAACCTATTTGCAAATACCGCTATACGATCTGGAGACCCATAGGAGATACGAAAAAAAGCTTCGTACAAAAGTTTGCTGGATTCTCCTGAAGATTAAAATATTATAATTTTGTTGATACATGGTGTTCCAAATGTGACACCCTGTATATTTACGCATTTTTGCAATCCTTGGTTAAAATAAAGATCACTTTCTTAAGAAATTCCTATTCGAATTTTGCATAGTTTACGCAGAAATTGAGGTTGTGTGCTTTTTTTTTTCATATATTGATTGCTCCATATAAAATTGTGTTGTTGCGCTACTGGTCCAGATATTGCAACGATAATTTAATTACACATGATGCACTACTCAATCAGTTTGACAGATGCGCCCCACCTTATACAGGGTGTCCCAAATAGGTGGTGCCGTTTTGGCGAATTCAATGATCAAAATCTCAAGATTTTCAAATGGAACACACTATATTTTTATTCAGATATCAATTTTAGGACAAAAAATAAGGTATGTTTGTAATATATCTTATATTTAAATTTTATTTACTTTTTGAGGATTCGAGGTTTAAAAAATTTCGATGTTAACAAATTAAACAAGAGATTCTTCCATTAAATAATAGTGATGTGGTTAGAAATGCGGTCTCCAGCATTGTGACGCGCTATACAATGTGTTTTGCTGAGTAATATATTGAAAATATATTACAGTATTTAAGTTTTTTTTAGTTACCTGTTTCTGTTATTTTTTGTTTTAGTAGATTTATTTATTCAAATTTGTTACCTTGTTTAGTTATCCTATAAAATTTTAATTATTTATTTTTGTTATTGGGCATTTTCAATCAAGCTAGATAAATAACTATTAAATGTTTCTTTAAATATTAATTCTGAAGTTTTATTAAATCTGTGTGTAGTATAGAGTCGATTTTTTTTCAAAATTCCAACGTATTAATGGACACCCTGTATTGTTAGCAATAGGTTTTATTCGCATATCTGGAGTATTATATATTTAAAAGAACTAGTTTCATGTCTTTGCTATTTAAAAAATACCCATTATTACCAACAAGTGACCTAATGGGGGCAGCTTTAAATTCATACGGGTGTTATCCTAAACCTCGAATATCTCAAAAATTAAATAAAATTTAAATATAATATAAATTACAAAATATAGGGTGTTTCATTTGAAAATCTTGAGATTTCGTTAATTGAATTCGCCAAAACGGCACCACCTATTTGAAATTGAAATAACAAAGTTGATGTCGGGTTGGGGGGGGGGGGGCGACTCTTTTGGGATGACCTGTATCAACAGAATTATAATATTTACATTTCCAAAAGAGTCCAAGAAACTTTTGTTCGAAAACTTTTTTTCGGATCTCCTATGGGTTTCCAGATCGTAGCGCACATTTGTATAAGACGCATTTAACAGTTGGTAAAATTTTTTAAATTTACTAATTTTATGAATTCCATTACGACCTCACAGATTTAGAAATAAATATATCCTTATGTTTATCATTCATATAATTTAAAACAACAGTTTGTCCTCTTATTTGCTAGCAGGTTTGGGTTTTCGTTACCCTGCAGGCGATACTATCCAGGTATTCTCTAAACTGAGTATTGGTTAGTCAGTAGTGTAAATATTATCGCTATAAAAGCATTGTTATGCAGTTTGGCTAGTTAAAATAATATATATATCACTCTGTCACCGTAAGTACAATTCATCATTTGAACGTTATAACTGTCGATATTTAAGTCAGTCGGTTTTGAAATATTAATGATATATCTCTATTTCGTGAGAATTTCAAAAGTAGCAGATAAAGCAGATAAATACAATATAAAAATGCTGTTTTCGGCAATTAAGTTTTTAAACTTATTTTATCCCATAAACTATGATTATTTTTGGCGATAGAAAAAATTATTCCCAAGGAACATTCTCGGTTCTTTACCTAAACAAAAAACGCGGTTTTGAACCCCTCCGAGGTGTACCAGCTATCGAGAGTAGTGTGCCCCAAGGATTCATCTCAAGTCCGTTATTGTTTTCAACAAACTTTGTCATTCGATGAATGCTTATTCGGTACTGGTTGCAGGAAATACCAACTTTTTCCCTTCCAGTAGATTTTTATCAGCTCCATCAAATATCTCGGGCATGTCGGCCCATGTGTTTTTGATTTAATTATTTTTTTTAATTTTTACATTTTAGAAAATTTATATTTTGGTTTAGTTCATTCATCTATTAAATGCAGTGACAGTTTAAGGCACAAGGCTACATTTGTGAAGCAGAAGAAATTCATTGAAGTTGTGACTTCGTGATTCATTTCAACTTATATTTCGCAATCTGTTTTGCCCTTTGGCCTGTTCAGTCTTGTAGATTTATAGTAGCAAACATGCTTTTCCCAGTGAAATTAAGAACATGCGCTTTGATTAATTCCGGAAATAGTTTACAAAATTTGTTTGTTGAGAATTGTTTAAAGTGTAATTTTACATTTTAAGCTTTTACTGTGTTCAGTTATATGTGTATTGTGAATATTCACTATTCACTATTTGCCTATGTATTGTTTGCTATTTGCACACACTGCATTAAATCTGAAGCACGTCTATGACAATTAGTAAACTTGCTAAAAAATTAAATGGGAATTTCGTTAGGTTAACATTCGCCTCGTTCACTTGGTTTCACCAACAAAGAAAACGCTTTCTATCAGTTTCTGCAAATAAGAACGGTTTTCGATAGCCAAACATTGTTGCAATCCAAAAGAGAGAGTAAAGTGGGCCCACAATTTTCAACGTTTCGCAATTCGGTAATAATACCCGTGCAACAGTTTGCGAATTGGAACAGTGCGTCAGTTCCTAATTAAACTAGCAAATATGCCGGACAACAAACTAATTGGACGCTTGCGTCGCTCAAGAAATTTTAACGGTGTACGACACCATCAAATCAATTAATTAAAGGCGATCGCAGTTTTCTCTCGCTTGTCCGCCGACGCCTAGCAACAAAAATTGAATAAACGGCATTGAATTGAAGAAAGTCAGGGTCATAAAAAATTTATCAGCGGTTAGATTTGCATAAAGGCTGATTATATGGCGGTTCTTGGACACGCAAAAAGATAATGAAACGAGATATTTTGGACTTTTAATGCCTTTATTATTTATAATAATAATAATAATCTTTAGCAATGTGTTAAATAAAAAACAAAAGATTTTAAATTTGCAATCTAAACGCCCAGATCATCATTGATATTTATAGACTTAAAAAAAAGAAACTAACAGCGGCGATTCATATTTAAAGCCTTTTAAATATATTACGGGTATCACAGCCTTTAATATTAGTAAATGTGAGAGTACATACTAAAATACTACATACTAGAGAGTACATAACTAAAATAAAAATTCCTGAAATAGGTAATATTTTTACAAACATAATCAGAAACATTTTGGTCATATATTCAAAATATTGAATTGTCGTATATATATATATATATATATATATATATATATATTTGCACTTGCTCTAATTTAGAATTTGACAAATTAACCAAAGTTATTTATAGTTTATTTCCCTTTATTGCATCAGTATTTCGTTTTCAATACAAATGTTTACATTTATAACTTAAATTTATTTTATTTATTTTCCAAAAATGCAAAATTCAAAAGTGTTATTCATATTATCATTCATTTTCCTTTTCCATTTCATCAATATTCTCACTCATAATAAAAATCATTACCTTTACTTTCATCTAATATATTTGTATCATTTATATATATAATAAATAGCAAGAATTTCAAAAACTAAGCCCTGAGGAACACCATGCTTCACAGTTATGGAATTAGATATGCACACTTTTCCCCTAATACCTCGTCTTCTGTATGTACTACATACCAGCAGCGCATACAGCACAGCTTCTTTGTAGGTTCGGTACTCCTTTGTATACTTACATAAAATTCTACGTTTTTGATGAAGCTAAAAGGAAAATGCGTGCATTGGTTGAATTTTTTTTCGAACCATCTTGTGACCCCCTAGCTAAATGAAGCGAAGGTCACTGAGAGAAAGAGAGAAAGCACGACTCCCATAGTTTGAACACGTGAGGTTAATAATGCGATTGTGATTTAGACTGATTAATATCGACAACTGTTTTTTAAGAGAATTTTGGATGCATATTTCATAATTTGAAAATGGAAAGCTTTAATAAATTAAATCTTCGGTTACAAACATTTCGTTCCTCAAAGTGGAGATGAAAGGTAAAAACGACAACTTTGTCCTCGTGAACCATATATGTACATATTTTCGTGCCTCGAGTCTTCATCTTTAGTTTTAATAAATATCAATGTAAATATAAATATATAAAATTAAAGTGTTTCATTCTTTAGCAGAAACTATTTAATTAATATGGAGGGAGTAAACAGAAATGCTAAAAAAGTTTACAATAGCATAATAAAACTTAAGACACTTGTCACCCTAAATTACGTAATTATCGTGGGATATCTACTTGATTAATTAATAATTTTTTTTATATTTTTTTCCTTTTCCTATGTTTTAAGTCCTCAAAAGCATAATAATAATGTATCTATTTAAGAAACGTCAAAGAAAAGGTGTTAACTCAGATGAAAATGTTACTTGCTGACCCCCGTTGTCCTTTAAGTAACCTAGCTTAAGTAAACTGTTTAACGATAATCAACAAAACGCACAAGAAAATAAAATCTCCATCGAAGAAAAGAATAGAAAAGCAGCGCGAATGACGGCATTACTATATTTTTGTTTTCGTTAAGCAGCGGAGTTAAAATAACGACATTTAACTTT